AGATGTACCAAAAAGGTGTTTGACTTTACTGAGAAGGCTTGCAGTTTCTGTGGCTGTGATCAGCTCCACTAGCGGGATTTGTCTCGGTGTGACAGCAAAATTCAACCCTTTAGAAAGGATGTTTTTCTCTGTTTGGGTGAACTGTCTGTCAGACAGATTCTTCACCCACTTGTCCACATCCTCGGTATCACATCCTTCTCTCTTCTAGCCACTGAGGACACTCTCCGTATTTTGCGGTGGTTTCCGACGTACAAGAAGTAAGTCAAACTTCCTTTGTTGCCTGGTCTTAGACTTCTTGTGCTGTGCTAGACGAGCCTTCTCAGTAAAGTCAAACACCTTTTTGGTACATCTTTCGCCATCTTACAATGCTGTGATTGCAGCCATTCCCCAACTCTGAATGGTGCTGATGGCCATTGATCAGTGGGCTTTGATCAGTGGGTTTTGGTCAGTGGTTGTTGATCAATGGTAATGAGAATTTGCATAATTAAGATTAAGGAACTGACCTCCCAGCCCATTGTTTCTGCAGTGAGCTGGTTTCAGTCATTATGCAAATGTACTGTTTATAAGATTGAAACCTGCAGTCAGCTGAGACTGAAGAAGTCACTTGGATGAGTGATGAAAAGTGGCCACTTGTTTGTCAAAGGCAATAAATAAAAGAACACAGCTGTGAATTATAATAAAGACTTGAATACATCAAAGTGCAGTAATCAAAGCAATGTGGAACATGTTTTGAGCTCAAGAGGTTGTGAAGGGTGAAGGCAACAGTGGTCCCAGTGGTAATTGCAGCACTCAGGCAGAGACCCCTAAACTGGGTGTGTGGCTCCAGCAGGTTCCTGATAATTCCATTTGTGAGGATAATATGAAGTGACAGTTCAGCTGAAAGTTCTATTAATAAGTCAATCAATAATATAATCACATTTTAAATGATCATATGTGGAAAAGTTTGAATCCTAACCTGAGAGTTTCCACTGCACTCTGTGAACTCTTTAGTCCAGCAGACAGAAGCTTCACTCCTGAATCCTGCAGGTCAGAGTTACTCAGGTCCAGCTCTCTCAGACTAGAGGACTGGGAGCTGAGAACTGAGGACAAAGCTTCACAGCTTGTCTCTGAGAGATTACAACCAGTCAGTCTAAAAAAATAAAAGACAAACTATAAAACAAATACTCATGTAAAGTTTGTTATTATATTACTACATTACATGTGGCATCTTTTTTTATTTTTAAAGGAAACCTTAATATTCTAAGACACAACATCATATGGATGAACATGGACAAAATCTTTAATTTCGTTTTAAAAAAAAATAAAATGACATTTGATCTGACCTCAGAGCATTCAGTTTACAGTTTAAACTTTGTACTCCAGCAGACAAAAGCTTTACTCCTGAATCCTGCAGGTTTTTGATGGTCAGGTCCAGCTCTGTCAGACTAGAGGACCCAGAGCTGAGAACTGAGGACAGAGCTTCACAGATTTTCTCTGAGATTTCACAGATGTTGAGTCTGAAAATAAAAACATTAAGAAAGACTGCTGCTAAAGTGTAATCAAGGTGTAATAACTAATCCTGTTTGTTTTGTGCTGAGTAGGTTAGTAAAACTTCACTTTAACATAGAAATGAATAAAAATTGTACAAAACAACAATAAATGGTAAAGTTTACCTTTACTGGCTAAATTTTCTCACTTGATAAAAACAAAAAACAAACATATAAACAAACAAAAGAGAATACAAATTGATCTGACCTCAGGATATTCAGTTTGGCGTGTGGACTCTCCACTGCAGCAGACAGAAGCTTTACAGCTGAATCATTGAGGCTGTTGGTACTCAGGTCCAGCTCTCTCAGACTACAGGACTGGGAGCTGACGACTGACAACAAATCTTTACAGCCTTCCTCTGAGAGGTTACAGCTGCTCAGCCTGCAAAAAACAACAAGAACGAGAACAACAAAACAATATCTATTATCAAATATAATCACTTTATATGTTGAACCTAGGTAATCAAATGAGCACAAATGAGTACACTACAATGCAAAATTAAATTAAAAAAATGTTCAAGAACTTAAGTCTAACAGAAGAAAAATATTTCATTTTAAACACAATTATACCAGTGTATCTAAATGGAAACCAGAGAAGAGCGGGTAGATTTAGTGACACTAGTTCAGTGTCTGCTGGCTCAGGCCTGTGAGTACTACAGTACTACAGTTACTACAGTACTAAACTTACTACAGTACTGTTGGTCACTTTATTAATTCTAATATCTGTGATTACAGTAAATGTTTTTTTTTCCATTTTTTATTTTTTAATCCTTTATTTATCCAGGTAAAAAATCTCATTGAGATTAAAAATCTCATTTCCAAGAGAGACCTGGCATCATGGCAACAAAAGTCACATACCACATAGGTATATAACATTTAAAACAAATACAATATCCCATACAAACATGTGCAAAATATACAATAACAGATCAAATACAAAAAGAGTACATTAAAAACAATCACACTGAGTAAAAGAGCTGTTCTCTCGTTCTTTTAAGACAGACTTAAACTCTCCCAAGGTAACCAATTCTGATAATTTCAGTTCCTTCTGCAGATTATTCCAGGAAGCAGGGGCAGCGTATTTAAAAGCCCTTTTCCCCCATTCTGTTCTGATTTTTGGGACAATCAATTGTATGATTTTGTTCGAACGAAGGTTGTATTGGTTGTGGTTTTTACACATATAAACACATAAATAAGATGGAACCAGCCCAAGGAGAGATTTATAGATAAAAATCAACCAATGGGAGAGTCTATGAATATGCAAAGATGGACATTTAGCAGCAGCATACAGAGAACAATGATGTACACGACTTCCATAGCCAGTAATAAAACGTAAAGCACAATGGTACACAGTATCCAACCTCTTTAGGTAGTGGGCAGGTGCATTCATAAAAAGCAGGTCACCATAATCCAATAAAGGTAAAAAGGTTGAACGAATCAAATGTTTTCTCACTTGGAGGGAGAAACAGGATTGGTTTCTAAAAAAGTAACCTAGTTTTAGTTTTAACTTCGACACAAGCCTTTGAATGTGAGTCTTAAATGACAAATTCTGATCTATAATGATCCCTAGATACTTGTAAGATGTGACCATTTCAATTTCAGATCCTTGAATTGTTTTAATCTTAGGAGACGTAGCTAACAACTCTTTGCCATTTGAGAATAACATAAACTTGGATTTCTCTGGATTTAACACCAACTTAAGTTGAGTTAAATGGGACTGAACGACATCAAAGGCAGACTGCAGAAATTGCAGGGTTTGTGCTACTGAAGGGGATGAACAATAAATAATTGTATCATCTGCATAAAGATGAAATGCTGCATTTGACAAATTATCACAAAGGTTGTTTATGTAAAGAGAAAATAGCAATGGTCCTAATATGGAGCCCTGCGGAACTCCTTTGGATACTGGGAGAAAAGAGGAAGAAGACCCAGCAGCACGGACACACTGTTTTCTTGCTGACAAGTAATTTGAAAACCAACTTACAGCATTTACAGATAGACCAATATTGTTTAGTCTATTTAATAAAATAGCATGGTCAACTGTATCAAAAGCCTTTGACAAGTCAAGAAAAAGAGCCGCACAGTAATTTTTGCAGTCCATTGAATCAACAATGTCATTAACCACTTTAATAGCAGCAGTTATTGTGCTGTGTTGTTTTCTGAATCCTGACTGATGTTGGGAAAGAACTGAATTTTTGTCCAAAAAATCTTTCAGTTGTTCACTAATGAACTTTTCTAGAACTTTTGCTAGAACACACAATTTAGATATGGGCCTGTAATTATTAACATCTGAAGGATCACCTCCTTTCAGCAAAGGGAGAACATAGGCAGATTTCCATATTACAGGGATCTCACTGTTCGAGAGGCTAAGATTAAAAATGTAAGTTATTGGTTCTGCTATAAAAATGTGGTTGTAAATAATTGCTCACATGATGGACTTGGTGCAGACTCTTGTTTTTTTTGTTTTTTTGTCAAAAACAAGCTGCCTTTTAAAGTCCTGCCCTCCCTAAATACCAACGTGTTTTCGATTGGACAATTTCAGTTACTGACAAGAAACAGGACATTGACGGCAATTTTAATTATGATGCCCAAGGTTTTTCCTCTATACTGGATATAATCAGGACAGTCATAGCAGAGAATTATATAAAAAAATGAGTGTGTACTTAAGGTGAGACAGAAACCAGAACTTGGATTATAAACATCAAGAAAAGATACAATCTTGTAACTGGTGGCAGATTTCTTTTCTCGTGCATTAATCACATATTTTAATCATATCTCTTTAGTTTAGCAAGATGACTCCTGACACCAGTTGTATGCATGTAGAATGTTTTCACAATTGGGCCTTAGGTTTTATTGCATCTTCACAGACGGTCCACTTGAGACTTGAAGATCTCCAGACATCCTGCTCTTAATGAGGTGATGGGTGGTCGTAACTTTTGTTCGAGTAGGAGGGGGTAAAGAATGAGCTGGACTGAAGGTATAGAGATTTATGATATGCTATGGAATGTTCTTTGTTTAAGAGTGTTTGGCAGATATAAAATATTTCAGGGTGGTGTGCCTCCTCAGAAAAATGTTTGGTGTTTGATCTGAACGTTCTCTCCACTGCAGTGTTTTTCATATTTCTTTCTTTTAATAAACCTCACTTCAAAAGACACGCTTAGCTGGTAGTTGCAGTTTTATTTAAGAGTTTCCACAACATAACTGAGGTATATGGTTTAGAAAAAAAGAACTAAGTGAGCAAGCTGAGGATAAGGCTGAGGATAAGGCTGAAGGATCAGAGCCCATAGTCTTATAGGCTGGGTCTGGATTGTCCTTTGATAAGAGCTACAGACAAAAATCTCTCAGAAATGCTGACCGGCTGGACTGAAACATTAAAGGTATCATAGTTGACCAAGTGAGTGATGATCATTTAATTCCCTATTTTTATGTATTTTTAAGTGTTCTCTGAACTGATCATGCCTGATTTAATATTACTTACAGAGCCTTGTTGGAGGCTTTGACCACTGGCAGCAGCCTCAGAAGAGCCTCCTCTGAAGCAGAGTATTTCTTCAGGTCAAACACATCCAGATCTTTTTCTGATGACAGTAAGATGAAGACCAGAGCTGACCACTGAGCAGGAGACAGTTTATCTGTGGAGAGACTTCCTGATTTCAGGGACTGTTGGATCTCCTCTACTAGAGAACGATCATTCAGTTCATTCAGACAGTGGATCAGATTGATGCTTTTCTCTGCAGACAGATTCTCACTGAGCTTCTTCTTGATGTACTGGACTGTTTCCTGATTGGTCTGTGAGTTACTTCCTGTCTTTGTCAGCAGACCTTGTAGAAAATTGTGATTGCTGTTTAGTGAAAGACCTAGAAGGAAGCGGAGGAACAAGTCCAGGTGTCCATTTGGACTCTGTAAGGCCTTGTTCACAGCACTCTGGTAGAAGTGTTTCTCTGCAGGTTCTCTTGTTTCAGAGTTCTTGGAGGTTGTTTGTTGTTCTTCTACCAGATTAACTCCAGAGTTGATGAAGGTCAGATGGACATGAAGAGCAGCCAGAAACTCCTGAACACTCAGATGGATGAAGCAGAACACCTTGTCCTGGTACAGTCCTCTCTCCTCTTTAAAGATCTGTGTGAACACTCCTGAGTACACTGAGGCTGCTCTGATATCGATGCCACACTCTGTCAGGTCTGATTCATAGAAGATCAGGTTTCCTTTCTGCAGCTGATCAAAAGCCAGTTTTCCCAGAGACTCCATCATCTTCCTGCTTACTGGACTCCAGTGTGGATCTGTCTCAGCTCCTCCATCATACTTTATCTTCTTTCTTTTGGCCTGAATCACCAGGAAGTGAATGTATAACTCAGTTAGAGTCATGGGAAGCACTCCTTCTCTGGTTTCCAGCACATCCTCCAGAACAGTAGCAGTGATCCAGCAGAAGACTGGGATGTGGCACATGATGTGGAGGCTTCGAGCTTTCTTGATGTGGGAGATGATCCTACTGGCCTGCTCCTCATCTCTGAATCTCTTCCTGAAGTACTCCTCCTTCTGTCGGTCAGTGAACCCTCTGACCTCTGTCACCATGAAAGCACAGTCAGGAGGGATCTGATTGGCTGCTGCAGGTCGTGTGGTTATCCAGAGGCGAGCAGAGGGAAGCAGTTTCCCCCTGATGAGGTTTATCAGCAGCGCATCCACTGAGGTGGACTTTTTAGGATCAGTTAGGATTGTAGTTTTGTGGAAGTCCAGAGGAAGTCGACACTCATCCAGACCATCAAAGATGAACACAACCTGGAAGTCTTCAAAGCTGCAGATTCCTGCTTCTTTGGTTTCAGTAAAGAAGTGATGAACAAGTCCCACCAAGCTGAACTTTTCCTCTTTCAGCACATTCAGCTCTCTGAAAGTGAATGGAAATATGAACTGGATGTCCTGGTTGGCTTTGTCTTCAGCCCAGTCCAGGGTGTATTTCTGTGTTAAGACTGTTTTCCCAATGCCAGCCACTCCCATTGTCAGTACTGTTCTGATTGGTTCTTCTCTTCCAGGTGAGGCCTTAAAGATGTCTTCTTGTCTGATTGTTGTTTCTGGTCTGTCTGGTTTCCTGGATGCTGTTTCAATCTGTCTGACCTCATGTTCATTATTGACCTCTGCAGTCCCTCCCTCTGTGATGTAGAGCTCTGTGTAGATGTGATTCAGAAGGGTTGGGTTTCCTGCTTTAGCGATGCCCTCAAACACACACTGGAACTTCTTCTTCAGTTCTAACTTGAAGTTAATCTGACACTTCTCAAGAGCCTCTGAAATAATAAACAAAAGCGGTTAACATATCAGTATCAATGCCTGGGCAGAAACAGTCAAAACATTACCTGACCAAAAGGGTCCCTACATAGAAGCTACAGATAAAGTGTATCCACAGCCTTTCACTTATTTCACATTTTGTCATGCATTCCTTCAAAATGTGGTAAATTCACTTCTCAAGTCAATTTTAAAAAAATAAAAATACCACATAATGACAATGTAAGACACGCATGCTTGGAATTCTTGTTAATGTATTAAAAACTAATAAAATGTTGCCATACATAATAATTCATAATTCTTTGTGGAAGTACATCTGGCAGCAATTAGAGCTGCAAGTCTTTTTGATTATAATGCTTAAAGCTTGGTAAACCTAATTTTACGCAGTTTCTTTCATTCTTCTTTGCAGAACTGGGTCGGTGTCACACCCTTGAAACACCCGTAGCTAGTCAGGCCCCTGTAGTTAGGGAACAAGGTACCATAGGGCCCACTTGCTCTCCCTCAGCGGAATGTGCCGAGCAGCCAGGGAAATAGGCTGGCTGGCTGGGTGACGGTGAGGAGGAAGCATAGTCCTAAACACAAGCCCCAGGTACACCACCAACCCGTTCATGTGTCTAACCGTTTTTCCCCACTCGGCGACACACCCGCCGGGGGTCAAACTCTAGTAATTGGTGATTCTGTTCTCAGACATGTGAAGCTAGAGACACCGGCAACCATAGTCAAATGTCTTCCAGGGGCCAGAGCAGGCGACATTGAAGGAAATTTAAAACTGCTGGCTAAGGGTAAACGTAAATTCAGTAAAATCATAATTCACGTCGGCAGTAATGACACCCGGTTACGCCAATCGGAGGTCACTAAAATCAATATTGAATCGGTGTGCAACTTTGCCAAAACAATGTGGGACTCGGTAGTTTTCTCTGGTCCCCTCCCCAATCAGACCAGGAGTGACATGTTTAGCATGTTCTCCTTAAATTGCTGGCTGTCTGAGTGGTGTCCCAGAAACGATGTGGGCTTCATAGATAATTGGCAAACCTTCTGGAGGAAACCTGGTCTTGTTAGGAGAGATGGCATCCATCCCACTTTGGATGGAGCAGCTCTCATTTCTAGAAATATGGACAAATTTATTAAACCCCCCAAAATATGACTATCCAGAGTTGGGACCAGGAAGCAGAGTTGCAGTCTTACACGCCTCTCTGCAGCTTCTCTCCTCCTGCTACCCCCCCAAAAACCCATCTCCATAGAGACTGTGTCAGCTCCCAAACAGACAAAAAACAAACTAAAAACCAGCAACAAACAACTTAAACATAAACAATCACAAAGAAAGAACAATACAGTATCCACATCTGAACCAAAGAGTAACACAGTGAAATGTGGATTATTAAATATTAGGTCTCTCTCCTCCAAGTCTCTGTTAGTACATGACTTAATAATTGATCAACAAATTGATTTACTCTGTATTAGATTATAATATTATTTTATGCCATGTTATACCCTTAATTAAAGATTGTGAATTATTATGTAGTTTTAGTTTGCATTATTCTCCTGAATTAGAAGAAGCTGATAACTATTGCATTAGTTAAACTGATGTGCATTATATTAAACTGTTGATTTATTGTGAATGAATGATATTGTTTTATGATGCATTATACTGCTGAGTTATAAGAAATACTGTTGGCAGAAAGTCATCGCCTTATTTGTCTGATTAGAAGAGAACAGAGTGTGCTGGAGTTTTCTGCCCCATCTCAGCAGGAGCAGATAGACAGGGAGCCAAGGTCGTAGCTTAGGCGCCGTGTGAGAGAAAGCATGTGAATGTTTAGGCTTTTTATGATAAGGTGGAGGCACCAGAGGCTATAAGAGTTTGAGCAATGCTCCACCATTTTGAGATCTGATGCTGTCTGCATACAGTTTCCATCTCCCACGTGTGTGATCATTAAAATCATCGTTTGACTCAACCCGGCCGGACCAGTGTTGTTATTGTGGTTTCTCTTGTCTCCATCCCCAATATTTTTGAACCTTAACAATACATACACACACACTTACACAGCAGTTAGATTCAGGGGTAGGCGAGAGTTCAAATAATACTTTGGAAAACGCTGTAACTGCAAAATTGTGCCTGCATAAGTTACAAGTTTGTTGTAGGACGTGCTGCTGATGTTCCAGACGATAAGCGAGCGTCTGGCAGCGACAGGAAACACCTGGCTTGGAGGCGAAGAAAATTTTCTTTTCTTACTGTGTCAAAAGTTGCTAACAGAACATTTGTGGTTTTGAAAATGCATGTATTGTATCTGTGTTGACGTATGAAGGGGGCGTCATAAATCCTACCGATGCTTTAAAACAATGGATGTGTAGTTCTGGGGGCGGAGATCTACAGCTGGTGTGTGCAGTGTACATCTTCCCACGCTGCGTGTGTTTAATTAAAATCATTGTTTGACCAACTCTGCTGGACCATCGTTGTTTTTGTACTCACCCTCAATATTTGAACCCTTAACAAGACCAAGGATGAAGCAGGAAAAACCAGCTTCCAGGGTCATCTACAAATGGGACAGTGAGGCTGAGGAGGTCCTACAGGACTGCTTTGAGACAACTGACTGGCAGATATTTGTGGATGCAGCTGATGGCAACATCAATGAAGTCACAGACTCTGTCACTGGATATATTGGAAAGTGCATGGATGATATCATCACAAAAACCACTGTCCGCATATACCCAAATCAGAAACTCTGGGTAAATAAAGACGTTTGCGCCAAGCTAAAAGTGCGGACCTCTGCCTTTAACTCCGGGGATGCAGCCCACTGCATCTCTCGCAGACGACCTCAACAACTTCTATGCTCGTTTTGACGCAGACAACAGCTGGCAGAGGTGTTCACCAACATCTTCAACCTCTCCCTGAGGCAGTCAGTGGTCCCCACATCCCTCAAAGCATCCCCCATCATTCCTGTTCCCAAAAAATCAGTGTTCTCCTGTCTGAATGACCACCGTCCTGTTGCACTGACATCCGTCATCATGAAGTGCCTGGAGCGGCTGGTCAAAGGTCACATCTGCTCCTCCCTCCCTGACACACTGGACCCTCTTCAGTTTGCCTATCGGACAAACAGAGCCACAGAGGATGCCATCGCCCTGGCAATGCACACCACCCTCACTCACCTGGAAAAAGGGAATACATATGCAAGGATGCTCTTCATCGACTACAGCTCGGCATTTAACACCATCATCCCCTCAAAACTTGCCTTGTAGCTCATCAACCTTGGGCTGGGAACACCGATCTGCAGATGGATTCTAAACTTCCTCACAAACAGGCCCCAGGTGGTGAGAGTTGGTAAGCACACCTCCTCACCACTCATCCTAAACACAGGTACGCCACAGGGTTGTGAGCTTAGCCCCCTCCTATATTCCCTGTTCACACACGACTGTGTTGCCAAACACGAGTCCAACATCATCATCAAGTTTGCGGATGACACAACCATCATAGGCCTCATCACAGACAATGATCAGACGGCCTATAGAGAGGAGGTGATGGTGCTGTACGAGTGGTGTCTGGAAAATAACCTGACTCTCGACCAGTCAGGGAACACCAGCCCATCCACATAAACAGTGTCAAGGCCGAAAGGGTCAGCAGCTTCAAATTCCTTGGAGTCAACATCACCGAGACTTCTCCTGGACCCTTCACACAGACACTGCTATCAGAAAAGCTCGCCAGCAGCTCTACTTCCTGAGGAGGCTGAGGAAGTTTGGCATGAACGCCAACATCACCTCAAATTTTTACAGGTGTGCAATCGAGAGCTTGCTGATGAGCTGCATCACAGTTTGGTACGAAGCTGCTCTGCCAGCAGCCGTAAATCACTACAGAGGGTGAAGGCAGCAGAGCACATCACTGGCACGAGGCTTCCTGCCATTCAGGACATTTATCTCCAGCGATGCCTCCGTAAAGCACACAGCATCATCAAGGACCACAGCCACCCAGCACATCAGCTGTTCTTGTTACCGTCTGGCAGACGTTACAGGAGTCTGTCTGCTTGGACTACAAGACTTAAACACAGTTTCTACCATCAACCACAACACTTAAACACACACACAACACAGTCCACAGGACGCACTCAGAAGCTACTCTGTTTAATCTGCACTGGTCACTTCACTTTATTTATTTATATTTAAAAAAGTGCAATACTGTAACAACTGCCACAAAAAAAAACTTTTGTACTGTTTAGTTTGTACTGCTGCTCATTCCTGTGCAATATCCCATCTGCTTCCCCCCCTCCCATTCCTATTTAAGATTTTCTTTATTTAATCACTAGTATTATATATATATATATATATATATATATATATATATATATATATATATATATATATATATATATATATATATAAAAAACACCCAGCACGCCCCTGCGGGCGGTTTATCCTTCAAGCTCGGGTCCTCTACCAGAGGCCTGGGAGCTTGAGGGTCCTGCGCAGTATCTTTGCTGTTCCCAGGACTGCGCTCTTCTGGACAGAGATCTCCGATGTTATTCCCGTGATCTGCTTGAGCCACTCGCCTAGCTTGGGAGTCACCGCACCTAGTGCTCCAATTACCACGGGGACCATATATATATATATATATATATGTGCACTAGGTGCGGTGACTCCCAAGCTAGGCGAGTGGCTCAAGCAGATCACGGGAATAACATCGGAGATCTCTGTCCAGAAGAGCGCAGTCCTGGGAACAGCAAAGATACTGCGCAGGACCCTCAAGCTCCCAGGCCTCTGGTAGAGGACCCGAGCTTGAAGGATAAACTGCCCGCAGGGGCATGCTGGGTGTTTTTTTTTTAATATATATATATACACATACATATATATATGTATTTAGTCAGTTAACTGGAAATCTCTTTTTTTCTTTTACTACATCTTATTATTATTTTGCTCGTTACTATTTTTCTATAAATTTTTTATTCTTTTATTATTATTTTGCTACTATACCATTCTGCTGAGTGACTGTCTTCTGCTCGTCAAATACATTTCATTGCGATGTTGACCCTGTGCTAACTTGCATATGACAAATTAAACTGACAACTGAAACTGAAAAAGTCAGAGCTCTTTTGAGCCAACCATCCCTTTAACACTAACTAGTAATGACTTCATGAACTTCTTCACAAATAAAATTCTTATTAGAGAAGAAATTACCAATAATCATCCCACAGATGTAATATTATCTACAGCTACTCTTAGTACCATTGATGTTAAGTTAGACTCTTTTTCTCCAATTGATCTTTCTGAGTTAACTTCAATAATTACTTCCTCCAAACCATCAACGTGTCTTTTAGACCCCATTCCTACAAAACTGCTCAAAGAAGTCCTGCCATTAATTAATTCTTCGATCTTAAATATGATCAACCTATCTCTAATGATCGGCTATGTACCACAGGCCTTCAAGCTGGCTGTAGTTAAACCTTTACTCAAAAAGCATCTCTAGACCCAGCAGTCTTAGCTAATTATAGGCCAATCTCCAACCTTCCTTTATATCAAACATCCTTGAAAGAGTAGTTGTCAAACAGCTAACAGATCATCTGCAGAGGTTTATTTGAAGAGTTT